TATTCTACACTATCATGCTCATATTTATAAAACTCAGTGCCTCTGTGAAAGGTAAGGATGACTAGATCTGGCTAGCCCATCAGGCCTGGGGATAAGTTTTTAGTCTCGCCCCTCCCGAATGTCGAGTGAATGTTGTGTTTTACTGTTTAATTTATTCTCATTCACACTTCTTTTTGTATTTGTCCTACACTCCCTTTCCCCTTTTACTGTAAGCCGCCCTGAGTCCCCTAATAAATACCTAAATAAAAAAAGTTAAAATCCTCTTTTTTCTTTCATAGTCACATCTCAAAGAGATTCAAACTGCATTTGTATCTACTTTGTCTGACACTGATGGTAAGTAGGAATATGCCTGCATTATTTTGTTCATTGATTAAAAATGCAAGTCCTTATTAAAAACAAAAGTGCTTAAGCTTACAGATGTGGAAAAAAACACAAGATTTCAGTACATAGATATTATTTAAATTGTAACTTGCTCTAAAAACACTAAAAATTTGACATTGAAATTATGTAATACCATTGCAAGATTTTTTCGAGTTGTGATTTTTTTATAAAGCCTTATATTTTTCCAAGTAAAATGTTATTTTACAAAAACTAAATATGAATCATTCTTGAACTTGATCCTGCACCTGTTTTTAATTACATATAAAAATGAAATATGTTGCTGTTGCTGAATGCCACCAAGAAAAAGAAAGGAAACCAAATTGTAGAAGTTCTGCAATGATTTCTATTTGATCTGAATTCTAGTCTTAGTGAGGATTGAAACCAATGTATATGCTGTATAGGAGTTTATAGTATTACTGATTAATATAGCAAAATCAGAAGTATAGCTGAGAGGTTTTGTTTGTTATCATTTAATCATTTAGGCATTTCAAGTGCAACAGCTTGTCTCTCAAATAAGAACCTCCAGACCTCTGAACTTTCTGCTATTTCAGACATTTTCAGTCTCACAAAGAATTTCTTCCATGTTGTGATATGAGAGACTCAGAGGAAACTGCTTGTTATTCTTTCCTGAGGAGTTGGCTTTCTAGCATTAACATCTCTGGCTGTGGTTTTAGAAGTTCTATTATTGCTGTAGATTGTGATATTTTTATACTTTTGATGGCTATATGTGATTGAACTGGTATTGCACTGGTTAATGTTTGGGCATGGAGAACAATATATAGATGTAACAATTGAATGTAGTAACATTTAATTTGCTTTCTATTTCTTATAGAACTCAGTCAAGATGTTGCTTCTAAAGGTCTTGGTTTGGTGTACGAGCTTGGAAATGAACAAGATCAACAGGAACTAGTTACTACACTTGTTGAAACTCTTATGACTGGGAAAAGGTATTTTAAAGAAACCTTAACTGATAGAATATGTATCAGGAGGCAGGGAATAATTTAAAAAGGGGATTAAAAGTAAGTGAGTTTAAATATAAAGAAAGTTTGGAGGAATGCTTCAGAACATCTGAACTCTTCTGTTCACGTTTCCTATGAATTATATTGAATCAATATGAGCTTTATTTTAAAATTCTGACATTATAAGATATATTTGCTTTCCTCCTGTATGGCAATCTATAATTTGATCTCAGTATGTTATGTTTCAATGTAATTTATTTGGGACTTGTATCCTAAATACTTTAAAGAACAAAGAGCATCTTAGGATAGTGTGGAATGGGTTTGAAAAAGTAATAAAATCCCTTTATCTGTGCAGTGACATTTTTATATTAATAATGTTTCTTGTAACATCTGTATATGATATGGTCAGGTACTTAAATTAAACCTTTTTAAATGGGCAAAAATTCTGCCAGTCATTTGTTAAAGTCTGAGAGAATAGTTGAATTCAGCCTCTTCTTCCTCCTTTTTACTAATATAAAATCAATTGAGTAAATATTTCCAGTTACGATAAATTTAAGAGAAGAGTCCCTATTATGCAAGATCCCCATTTGCAGTGGTGTTTCAATATTCAGGTGAATTTTCCCCCCCAAAATGCACATGTATTCTCTTAAGGATCTTAACCTCTTCTTTTTCCAATTAATTTTGAGATGTAGATCTGCATAAAAATGAGAAGAAATTTGACATGTATAAGTGAGGCAGAACCAAGAGACTATATAATCTGATCCCAAAGAGATACAAAATTAATCTCCTTCACAAGCTTTCATATAATAGACCCCTCTCTTTACAGAGTCAAGCATGAAGTGTCTGGGGAAACTGTGATGTTCCAAGGCTCAGGCCTTGGCAAAACTCCAGATGGGTAAGTTCCTTGATTAATCATGCTATTTGTGAGCCATTGTGTTACTTTAATCTATGGCAGGAGTGTCAAACTGGATTTCTTCGAAGGCTGGATCAGACGCCTCCAGCATTCTGCCGGCCAAAACAGTGCATAGGGGGGCTTGTTAGCAGAGGTACTGTGGGGGCTTGGGCTCCTCTACAGAAATCAGTTCCTGAAACGGTCAGCTTTATGGGGAGCCATCATTCAAAGGCACTTGGTTCATCCTAGTAAATTGATTCTCTGAACTGCTAAAATGTTCCGTGAGCAGCGGGGAATGAGAACAACGTGAAATATTTATACCATTATGGGAACTGGGAAACTAAGGCTCTGCAGTGATTAAGGGCAAATGGGCCATTGCCATCCTTATTTCAAGTGGGGTATATTTTAACCAACATACCCCCTTCAATCTTCTGTACGGGAGCATAAAGAATAAAAGATGCTTCAAAAACTTGGAGGGACAGTTCAGGTGTATAAACCATGTTTGCACCTGTGGCACCATTAGTGGCATCTAAGCAGAGGTTAGCAAAATAAGTCACAATGAAGTTTGTCAGGCATGCCAGTGTCCAAGTTCAGTGGAGAACAGGTTAGAAAAGTATGATGCATCAGCCTTTTCATACATGTCATAAAAGCCCCTGTTCTTGTTCGTTATGGCTGAAACCCAACACAAGCAACATTGTCTGGATTATAGTTTTGTTAAATCACAGCTGTAGCTGGAACTGTTTGCCAGAACCTCCGAAACATTAAAAAAACCTCTATTTTGTTCCATTTTGTGCACTCATCTGTTAAGCATTGTGTCCAAAGAGCAAATGTCACTTGTTGGGAACTGTGATCATCTGTCTTTCATAGCTGAGCATGGACTAGAGGCAGCAAATGTGAAACCAAAAAAGAAAATAGAAAGCCTTTTACTTTTACATTTAGAACTGTACTGAAGCCTCAAAAAACAAAGAGGGAACAAGACTAAAGCCTTGCCTCTAACTGTATGATCATACTAATTCTGAAAGACAATGGTTTGTTTATTTGATGTTATAGAATATGGAATTGTGTAATGGTGAAAAGATTTTGAATTATTGCATAATTGTCTTAACAAATTTGGTACAAATCTATAATTGAAATATTATTTTGACCCCCATCTCTAAGTGTGCCCTTATCATTGTTTCAGCAAAATAGGACATGTAAGAAGTAGCATTAATCATTTGTTTCTGTTTTCCCAAGCCAGGGTCTTTCTACTTACCAGGAGCTTTGTTCACTTGCAAGCGACCTCAACCAGCCAGATTTGGTGTATAAATTTATGAATTTGGCCAATCATCATGCAATGTGGAATTCTCGGAAGGTATTTGCATGTAGTGGGAATGGTAGAAATTAGAAACAAACAAAAAATCCATCTATGTTTGGGATAATTTTGAAATACTATATCTTCTGTTCTAAATTCTGATCTGAAGCTCAACATTATGAGTAATTGGGATGAATCCGTTACAATGGGAACCTTATATAGAAGAGCTGTTGATTCATATACAAAATACATAATGTTCATTTTGCTTGAATAATTTATGTCTGTTACCAGAAACCTGATTGAACATAAACAGGACACCTAAGTGTCATATAACAATTCTTTTTTCTTGGTTTTCTCAGGGAGCAGCTTTTGGTTTTAATGTGATTGCTACCAAAGCTGGGGAACAGCTGGCTCCTTTTCTTCCTCAACTGCTTCCTCGTCTCTATCGATACCAGTTTGATCCCAATCTTGGCATTCGACAGGCTATGACCAGCATTTGGAATGCACTTGTTACAGATAAATCTGCTGTAAGTGAACACAGAATAATTCTGTCCCAATGTCGTCACCTTTTTCCATTGAGCTGTCACCACTTAAAGTTAATTGTAGATTCTCTCAAATGAAAAAAAACTCAAGGGAAGCCTTGTTGGAGAAAAATAATGTCCTTTTCTAAATGTAAGAGGCACAGTGTGTAATCTTGGATGAGGAAAATACATCAAATGCTTGTTTTTTCTTGTTCAGAACATCAATTTAACCTAAAGAATTTATCATTCTTGGGTCCTGCAAATTAGCAAGATGATACAATAGGATGCATTCTAGTGGAGTTTAGGAGGGTGGTGGTCACAACTGCATGTTCTTTATTTTAATAATGTAATATTTATTTGTAAGATTTCTGATACCCTGTTTCCCCAAACATAAGACCTACTTGGGTAATAAGCCCAATGGGGTTTTTGAGCACATGTGCTAAAATAAGCCCATCCCAAAAATATTGCAACATAGCAGCAGCCACGAGGTGACTATACTTGCAGCCTCCTGCACCTCAAAAATAAGACCTCCCCAAAAATAAGGCCAAAAGAAAATAAGACATACATACATACATACATACATACATACATACATACATACATACATGTTGTATTTGTGCTGATAAATAAATAAAGG